TAGGTAATTTCTTAGTTAGATAGATATTGATTAGAGATCTGTTGTATTAGAAAATGTTAGTGTAGACAGGATGTCTAGCTCAGGCTGTTAAATGCTTAGTTCATTGTCATGAGCTTGCTGCAGGCGGCATGTGGGCCTCAAGGTCAACTAGATTGAAGAGTCTGCAGGCAGGATGAATATTGCTAGTAGCATGATATGCTCAGCCGTAATCTTAATCATAACATTTTTCGAGGCTTACTGTTCGGACATGTCCCTGAATGTCCTGTATGTTTTTAGATACACACCACTAATCAACAGCCACCCACTTGAATTTTCTCCATGTTTTGAATACTGCTCTGGTCAGCTGCCAAGCTGGCATATCAGGTGACGTCACGGTTTGATGTTGCCTGTGTAGGATGGGGGTAGCCCAACCAAGTGATTAAATTATATAGAGATCTTGGGTTCAGGGTTTTTTTTCATTCTCCGTCTGCCTGCGCGCAGTACTGGAGGTGGAAGATACCTGGACGTGTAATGTTAATTTTGCCTGTGACCCTTTGAATAAACCAGCATGGTTATTTTTTATATATCCAAGTGGTCCGCCTCGTCTCTCTGAGTTCCTGGTTAAAAGAACTGGGTTAATTCTTTCACATATGTGGTTGCTGGTAGGAAGGATGTAAACAACAACCAAGATGGCAGGTAAAAGGTCCCTGTAGCTCTGCATGTATGTAATATGGATGTCGTCCCATGTGGGCTGCAGAAACACCCCTTCACAGGGTTTGCTATTAACTTAAGCAAGGAGCCCTTATAAATACACCCTGTTATCTCCTCTTCTCTACCAGTCTCTGTTGTCTGGACCAATCACTTTCCTTTTTTTTTTGCACAAAGTATTAATATTGGAATTGGCAGCCTGCATTTGACTTGGTATCAGATCAGAAAGGAAATAGGTGATATAGCACATCATTAACAAATAGCCTGTAGTTTAGAGGAGAAAACCACACTGCAGTCATGTGAATTCCTGCAAACGTGACAGAGATCAAAAGTGAAAGTTACATTTCAGTGACTTTGACAAAGACACCACACAATCAGTGAAATTTCTGTTTATGATGGCTTCATTTATGGCAGAGCTTGATGTGTGTAACTTCTCAGGATTTCCCAATATGGAGTCTGAGTGTTTATGTCTTAAAAATGTTTTCTGGCACAAAGTTTTCTTTCAAAGTTTCATAATTTTATGTCAGGTCAGTTTAACAAAAATTACATATGTAAGAGCCAGGGTGACAATAGGAACGTGTGAAGGAGGTTACTTTGTAATCATGAACATAGTCCAAAAGATTAGGGTTGTCAAAATCTGACACTCCCCTAGAGACAACAAACATGGAGATTAGAAGAGATTAGATGAGAAGCACAATAAACAGTCACCTTTGAAATATTGAAGTATTGTTTGTGTGATTAAAAGTTCACAGGACTTCATCACAGATTGGAAATCTAGTTCATTACAGTTGTCTCATCCCATATTTGTCTGAGGACAGTTCTACCACATTAATAGCATTTTTTACTGTTCATTTTGTTTCCTTCATGTGGCTAAATCTGGCACATTTACATCACACTGATGTTAATTAATGTGGTTTGTCTCTAATAGACTAAAGACTAATTTAAAAACAAAAATATTTAAACATATCTCTCATCATATGAGTGAATAAGGCATAAATCTCTCTCTTGCTGCCGTAACCTACTTTATATACACACACACAAACTCATGTGCCTATAATCTTTTATGCTTTTTAAATTAAAACTTTTATACCAGTCATAATATTGTGACATAAAGGTACAATCATTTATTAGAAGATGCAAAAAAGGCTCATTTCATTTCTGTAGTACATATGTATATTTGTATTTGCAGCTAGAGTCTGATCTGTACATTTGATTGATTGATTGATTGATTGATTGATTGATTGATTGATTATGGGAGTTCAGCGACTAGTTCGGGGAACAGTTGTAAAATTGTTGTTAAAGTGTTTTAATGTGTTCTGATGTGTTACCTTGCTGTTGTGTGGCGTTGTTAATGACTTATGCTCATATGTGTTTAACGATGTTTTGCTAGCTGGTTGTGTGCTGTGTTTCTGAACCGTAAGTTTAAGTTGTATGTGCGAGACTGACCCTGTTGGTAATGTGATTGTTCTGTCTTCTAAATATATGACCAGAAAGACAGAGTGGCATTGTGGTCATTGTACTCATTGTAGAGGATACGCCCAAGCGCTATCCAGAGTCGTGCGGTGTATGGGACCTGGAGTAGTCACGAAACAGCATAGGTGCTAGCGCCCTGCTAGCTAGTTTAGCTGCTTAAGTATAGGTAGTCTCTCTCCTCCACGCCGGGGGTCATTACAGTATATTTGTATTTGCAGCTAGAGTCTGATCTGTACATTTGATTTGATTTATTCATTCAAGCATGTAAAACAGTTATGTCAACACACGTAATTTGAATCAGTCACGTAGTACAGCCGGGCAGCGAGGCTTCGGACGTCATCATTTTCAGCTCTTCATCTAAATGACACAAGCCTCGATACGCGCATCGCGGAAACGCCCCCTCCCCTACTCGGCACACGCTTCGAGGCCTCGATACGGAACGTCACATCACTAATAAAATGTACTTCAGTCATAAAAGAAGCTGATCAAAACCATGGCCCCGGAACAAGCATTTCTAAAATCAGGCTCAAGGGTGCCATGGCCCCGGAACAAGCATTTCTAAAATCACGCTCAAAGGGTGGTGTATTAATTAATGTATGAAGTAACCATGAATTAGGGTTTCTTAACTACTGATGAAGTTAGAGTGAATTAAGTAGTTAATACCAAATTGAATTCATAGTGATATATAGGAATTCGTGATTAATTCATGATGACTTACCATTAATAAATACATTAACTTATCATGAATTAAGCCTAGGAATTGTACCATTATTGTAAAGTGTTACCAATAAGTCTCTTCTACACCACACAAGTAATACATCATTCATACATCATCATACATACATCATACATCATTCATTAAGGAAAATTGGATAACCTTTATTGGCCAAGTATGTTACACACAAGAAATTTGTTTCCAGTAGAGAACCGATGGCAGCCATCTGCGGTGCCAACTCAACTGGTAGCTCTAACTTTCAACCTTCCGGTTGGGAGACAACTGCTCTACCCACCGCACTGTCACCTCCACTTACATTGTTTTAATACTAATACACATATAAAATCAAAAAATAAATTGCTTTTAGCTCAAAGTGATACATTAGTATTGGGTTATAAGTGATCAGTGCTAGGCACAGGGATAAGAACAAAGATCTTTTTTGTTTTTACAATGTCAGTTTACTGCTGTGCATAACAGTAAAATAAACAAAAAGAAAACACAACTAAACAACTTAAAATATCAAAAATTCACAATTGAAATTCAGTGTCCTCATATGGTTGTAATGCAGTGTACACATAAAGCAACCTAAAATCAAAGGTGAAAACCTTTACATAAGTGCCAATATATTTAAAAACAAAAAAAAAAAGAATCTGGTGGATCACAGCTCTGACATTCAAATGTTGTACAGGTACAATAATAATATACACTGCTCAAAAAATAAAGGGAACACAAGGGAAAATAAGACATTCAACTATGTAATGAACAAGGTATTTAATAAGAATATTTCATTCATTCAGATCTAGGATGTCTTATGTTGTGTTCCCTTTATTTTTTTGAGCAGTATATATTATTCTCATCAAAGTATTATCTTTGTCTCATTCCAACTATGTATTCTAGTGTGCCTTTTTCTTGCAGGGAAAACAGAACCACCTACTCCAAAAACTCCCAACAACTCCAAACAACTCCAACCACTCCAACAACTCTAACCACTCCAAAAACTCAGACAACTCCAAACAACTACAACCACTCCAACAACTACAACCACTCCAAAAACTCCGACAACTCCAAACAACTACAACCACTCCAACAACTACAACCACTCCAAAAACTCCGACAACTCCAAACAACTACACCCACTCATCTACCACCATGTTTTGTTGGTCCTCAGCAAAACATATATGGAAAGAGTCTTTGTTTTCATCGCCCTGATCTTCACATTCTTTTAGCCTGACATTGTCGAATCGTTCATCGTTATGGTCATTGACATTGTCGTCATGGTATTTTTTGGTTTTATGTTTTGGGGAGTCACACCCACTTATATCTTGCTCACAATCCGGATAATCAGCTGGTCTTTTACATCTAACATTACCAACATTTTGGTTTTTTGGCTCCTCTGTGTTCTTTACAGCAGTGGTCCCCAACCTTTTTATCACTGCGGACCGGTCAACGCTTGACAACTTTGCTGCGGCCCGGGGGGGGGGGGGGGC